GAGGAGGTAAGAGATTGAGTAGTGACACTGAATTGCACAGAGGGATTACATGAGCAAGATTTAGTTGAAATTCAGTTCAATGTATCTTCACAGGAAGATCATTTTCCTGGGCTTAACATGGAAGAACAGCTTTACAACCAAAGTGAATAGATATACTGAAGACGAAAAAAATTACCTAATCATACATCAGATATAGAAAAAGGTAAGATGACATGTTCACATTTCTAGCATTTGCTACCCAAAACTAATGATGTAAATTTTTTTGCTTTCTCAGTAATGCTTCAAAACCTTTCTTTCCTAGTTCCACGATTTATTGGCTTTATTGTGCTCTTAGGGCCCACTCGCCAGCCACATTTTTTAAATACTAGTTGCAAAAAATGATCTGAACATGCAGTGAGCACCCAGTGTAGATATAGAATACTGGATTACAGTCCTCCTGTATACAGATCAACCAGCTCAGAGGGGTGTGATCTATTCTGCATGTGTAATTCACTTATGGCCCTAATTGGCATAATGGGCATCGAGGGGTAGCAGCTTGTAGATAGAACTCTGGTGGGTGGTGCTTTGATGAGGAGAATGCAGGTAATTCTAAATGTGTGTGAACGTCACCTGTCCATGTTAGTGTAAGCCTTAAAGGTCATCTACTGTAGAAATTTCAATCCCTGCTACTTTAGCAGAGACCTTGTGATTAATTCCAATTGCCTCTTGGTGGATCAGGAAGTATTTTTTCCTTCGCTGAAGCAAATTGGATCATGCTTTATAGTTTTTTTTTTTTTACCTTGCTCTGTATCAACTGTGGGTATAGGATTATGTATATGGAGGTTTTCTATTTTTGTGTGTCCATGTGTGTTTTTTTCTATGTGGGTTGAATTGGATGGACTTGTCTTTTTCCAGCCAAACTAACTATCTAATGTCATAGAACTGGCCACACGCTAAATTATCACAGGTTTTCTGGGTCCTGATTTCTCAAGAAAAGGTACATGCTTAACCTCCCTGGTGGTATTCCCGAGTGTAGCTCGGGGTAAAGTTTCAGTATCACAAGCGGTAACCCCGAGCTACACTCGGGCTTACCATGTGGCGCTGCTCCGCGATCCCTCGATCACTTATCTTGTCCTGCGCTCCCGCAATCTCCCTCCTGCAGTGTCCCCGGCAATGTAATCCAGCGGATGCCGGCATCTGTCATCTGGGTTCCGTCCCCTGCGAGCGTCGGGACGTACGGGAGATGGAACAGCGGGAAAATTGAAAATGACAAAAAGTGCCATTCACTAAAATCACTAAAATCACATAGTAAAACATTACTGTATCAAAGCATTTCACATACATTTTGTCCCTAGTGCTTTGTCCTGTGCCCTGCCTGCATTTTTACTGTTCTTTCTGCCTGGAAACTGAGAAATGTCCATGGTGTCCAAAAAGTGTCCCTTTAGGTTAAAATCAGTTTTAGACCAGCTAGAGAACGGCAATAGTAAATCAGAACTACTTGCAGAATTGAGTGATAATGATTAGTGGGGAAATTCGTCATCAGACACTGAAAATGATTTTGCGACTTTGTTCAGTGATGTGCGAACTTATATTTCAAATTTCAGTGTTTTTGGTTTGATTATATTATTGAATTAAATTTATTATTATTATATTATTATTTTTTATGATTATTTATTAAATTATAATTTATGATTTCGTGTTTCAGGTTTTATCCTACCCGGGATGTTTACTAGACTCTTGTTCGGACAGATTTCAGTGAGTTATTCCTAAAAATTACAGGCCTACAATAAAAAAAAACATATTTCCATGCAAAAAAATGTACCGCTTTGAGCACAGAAATATGGACATAATCAGACTGCTAGGGAGGTTAAGATCATCCATGACAAATTATTTCTGTTTCTCGGATGAATTGAACAAACATCTTCAGGTTAAAGTGTGCGTTTGCACCATGAACTAATCTGTTCCTTCCCCCTTAAGCCTAGTACACATGATCAGAAAATTGTTAGAAAAATACCACTTTGAAAGCGATTGTACGATAATCTGATCATTAGTACGCAGCTTTCGTCCAAAATTATTAGAAGGGACAAGCATGAAAAGTTTTCTTGTACGATACCAGATTGTACGATTTTAAATTTATCAGTACAGTTTTCACTCGAAAATACAATACAAATACACTACATCACTTCCGAATTTTTATTCTGTCATACAATAATTTTATTAACTTTAGTAACCTCTTCCATTTTGATATGAGACTAGCTTGCAAAAATAATGGGCATTCATTCGTCCTATATTCCCATTGTGTGTGCAGGGCCTTAGGTTTTGTGGCAAAAAGATTGCATATATATTTGATTGCTCATTCTGCAAATAAACTTAGGACCTTTAGGCACACAAATGACAGACATTTTTATCTCAACTAATGCAACATATTTTTGCAAATCATGCAAGAAAAACTAAAGCCCCTAGGATTAACTTTGGAAACAAAAATCTTTACAGCAGAGATTCTTACTCTTGAACAATTTCAGAAGAAAATCAATGTTGTGGTAACTGGCATACATGATACTGAAAGATACTGATGGTTTAGTTCCAAAGTAATCCTTGGAAGAATTAGTAACATTAGTTCCAATGTTATCTTTGGGAAAATTGCTTGTGGAGCAAATTTTTCCATTATTTCCAGTGTTATCTTTGGGAAAATTGCTTGTGGAACAAATTTTTAATTATTTCCAGTGTTAGACTTGGGAAAATTGCTTGTGGAACAAACTTTTCATTATTTCCTTATTTGCTTATATACTGTATATATATATATATATATATATATATATATATATATATATATATATATATATATATCTATATGAACAGGCCAGAGAAGAACAGATGAATGTCAACACAAAATATAGGGCAAGTATACTGCATCTCCTGAGTGTATCTGAATGAAAGATCCCAAACAGGGACATCAACATATGGATTTATTTACTGTCTTGATGTTTATGTTGGTTTCCTCCCAACTCCCAAAAACACAGTAGGTTAAGTGGCTCCTACCCAAAGATGAGCCCATTGAGTATATTCAGTATACCTGTAAAAACTCTGAAAGTCAGATACTGCTGTGAATGGTTCTGCTTTCTTTGTAAAATGCTTCAAAATATGTTAGCAGTCAATAAATGAATAAAAAGAATATTTAACCGAACTGTTCCTCTAATAACATACTACAAAGAACAATGATACAGACTGGGCTAAACTGCAGTCATATGTCACATTGGTCACATATCTTTTTGACTGCATATTTTTATTAAAATAGCACAATGCCAAGGCTTTTTCAGGAATCTAGTTCTGGATATAGAGTAACCCACATCTGTGGATCAGTTGTTTGTTTAATATGGCAAGGCTTCACAGCTGAAAGCACAACTTTGATGGATTGCTGTGAATTATTGTACATAATTATACTATGGTAGGTTCAGAGCAGTTCTTTTACATTAAGCGTCATGTTCAGCTCCAGTATCACTAAAAATGTAGATACTCTACAAGCACCGGCACAGCCAAATTGGTACTATAAGTAATAGGCGATGAGCACAAACATAATATAGAAATGTATTTCACTTCAAGCATAATAGGCACAAGAAACACTTTCCAGAATATGGGATGCAAGGTCAAGTAAATAATTTTATTTTATTTGGAATTGCTGCATAACTGAACTGAAGAAATAGCCTATGACTTAATGTGGCATATCTAGGTCTGCAAGGAAGTAATAATAAACTAGCATTTACTCAGAAAATGCATATTGCAGAAACAGTAATAGTTCACTTAATGATCATTTTAGATAAAGGCTGTAGAATAGACCAGGAATGATGCTGATCTTCAGCCAAGCAACTAGACACTCAGTTGAAATACAGATATTTTAAAGCTGAAGTAAAGCCTGTTTTTTAACTTTTACCTACAGGTAAGCCTATAATAAGACTTACCGGTACCTGTAGGTACAGTGAATCTCTCATAAACGTGCACGGTTTAGGAGATATTCACAATGCATGCAGCCAGTGATGGCAACAGGTATGCCGTCCCTTTAGAGACCCATGCCATGGCCAAAACTCCTGTGCGCATGTGCAGGAGTGATGTCATTGCAGCTCGGGCAGTCAGACAGCTAGAGCATGCGAACTCAGAAGGAATACCGGGTGAAGATAGAAGCCCTGTCAGCGTGAACAGCACACCACTGGAGGGCTTAGTTCTAAGGTAAGTACTTCATAATGTGCTAGTATGTGATGCATACTAGCATATTATACCATTGTCTTGCACTTTTTTATTTAACTAATTTATCTTCCAAATACCTGCAATTTTTTCTAAAAAAGTCTCTAGATCAAAACTCTATTGCTTGACAACATACCTATAATCCTGACCTGCCTTTTCTTTACTGCAGGTAAATAGAACAGCTTAGTTAACCCTTTACTGACTAAGGAAAAAAACAAATCTTAATGCCTGAACACAATTTTGCAACTTTGACATGTTAGTAAAATCGTAAATATCATCGCAACTACTTTGTGCATCTAGGTGGATTATACCTTGTTTTTTTTCAGAACAAATTTGGCTTTCTTTTGGTGGAAATGGTAACATATCTCCTGATTTTTGTTTTCTATTTTCAAAGGGAAAACTGGCCCAAAATAGTAATTTCATTTAACCACTTGCCTACCAGGCACTTATACCCCCTTATTTACCAGGCCAATTTTCAGCTTTCAGCGCTGCTGCACTTTGATTGACAATTGCGCGATCATGCAACATTGTACCCATATGAAATTTTGATAATTTTTTTCTCACAAATAGAGCTTTCTTTTGGTGGTATTTAATCACCACTGGGCACTTTACTTTTTGCGCTATAAATAAAAAATTGCCAAAAATTTTAAAAAAAAAAGTTTTCTTTCTTTGTTTCTATTATAAAATTTTTCAAACAGGTAATTTTTCTCCTTCACTGATGTGCGTTGATGAGGCAGCACTGATGGGCACTGATAGGTGGCACTGATGGGCACTGATAGGCAGCACTAAAGGGCACTGATAGGCAGTACTAATGAGGTGGCACGGATAGGTGGCACTGATAGACAGCACTAATGAGGTGGCACGGATAGGTGGCACTGATAGACAGCACTAATGAGATGTCACGGATAGGCGGCACTAATATGCAGCACTGATAGGCAGCACTGATAGGTGACACTGATTATGGGTACTGATAGACGGCACTGACTGGCATCACTGTTGGGCACTGACTGGCGGCACTGACTGGCACAACCGCTGGGCACTGACTGGTGGCACTGACTGGCAGCACTGCTGCGCTGCACTGGTGGGTGGCACTGGTGGGCAGCACTGGTGGGTGGGCACAGGTGGGTGGCACTGGGCACAGGTGGGTGGCACTGGTGGGCACAGGTGGGTGGCACTGCTGGGCACAGGTAGGTGGCACTTCTGGGCACAGGTGTGTGACATTGCAGAGTGGCACAGGTGGGTGCACTGCTGGGCACAGGTGGGTGATCTGCTGGGCACAGGTGGGCGGAGCTAGTGGGCGCACTGCTGGGCACAGGTGGGCGGAACTTGCGGGTGGCACTGCTGGGCACCGATCATCAGGGCACTGATCATCAGTGCCCTGATGATCGGTGCCGATCCCCGCTCTGACAACTGTCGGTTCTAATAGAACTCCACACTGCTATTATTTTGAACATGCCCCTTTCAATTAGTCATTCAATTACACAGAATCAGCAGCATGACTGTTGGGTCTGTTGGATTTCTGTTACTCTACTACACCTGCTAGTAAATTATTTGCCATGTAGAAATATCATTTCTACCAAAAACTGTGATTGATCAGGTTAGAGATTTCTGACTGCTATTATTTTGAACACAACTGTATATATATATATATATATATATATATATATATATAAAATATATATATATATATATATATATAGAGAGAGAGAGAGAGAGAGATACTCTAAATTTGAGAATTATAATACACTACATTTTAGAGGTGTAGCCTGTCCTTCGCCGACATGTTGTTCCTATTCTTGTTAGAGTAAACTGCCAGGATAGAAATTTTGGAGATGTCTTTGCTGAATTGATTTTGAAGATTTGTGTTTCAAGGCTCTCATCCATCTCTTTGCTTCGCTACTTACTACTACTGGGTAACTGACTCAGAACAAGAACATAATTGTAAGAGGTTTTTTGTCAGAAAGGAGCAGTTAGAGACAATGGTAGCTCTGATGACCTTACACTGCAGATAGCTATGAGGCACAGACGTGGATTGATATTTTCCATAGGTATTCAATTCAATAGTTACAATTTCAGGGCACTGCTTAGGCACAGCTATCATTGCTAGATGTTCCTTGTAGGATAGCAGATGTTTACTTTTTGAGTTCAGGTCAACTTAGGTTCTATTGCCCTATAGTTACTCACCTGCCACCAACTGAGTGCACCCTACCAATTTAAATGCGAACCACAGATGAATGGTAAAAAATGCTGGATTAGGTTTGAAGGTATTATGTAGGTGAGAAGCACTCAAGGGGAGGGGGAAGGTGTTGCAGGGGGCAAGTAATTATTATACAATTGTGCCAGTTGTCCTTTAAAAACTGTTTCATAATTGCTAACAGGTTGAAGCCAATGCACATGTGTAGTTTCTACAGTAAACATTATTATGAATATTGCTTTTTCAAAAATTGTTTCTGTTTTGAAGCTAAACATACTTCCTTTTCCATTGCTTAGATCATCCTGATAAATGAATCTCCAAGCTCAAAGGTACATAGATATACAAACCTTTGTAATGACAGAAGCAATCAGAGTTGTTTACTCTTCCAGCTAAACAATATTCAATAATTAAGCTTTCCTTCAAACCACGTTCTTTATCAATATAGATGAGCCCTGACACCCTACATGAGACATGTACTTGGCTATAAAGCCTGGAGGTCAAAATCAATTGAAATCAAGAATGAATTGCTCTTGTGAAAAAGATTTAGAGTTTGGAAACAAAGGTTAAAGCACATAACAAAGATGCACAAGCCCTTTTTGGGAAAAGTGAGTGAAACCTTACCATTATGTTTCTAAAAATAAAATTAGGCTGGCACCAAATATTGGTTTTCACTCTAACGCTGGGAATATTTTTCATTTTTTTGCTCACTTAGTTGCTTTAATTTAAGTTTTCTGTGTCAATAAAGTAATTAGGCTTCACAACAGCAGTAATTATGCTTGCAACTATGCTTACATTCATTGCACAAATGAGGGAATTTCTCTCTAATCCCAAAGGCAAAAATATTATATATTGTCACTTGCCAGTCCTTATATACAATAGCTGCATTTGTTTTCTTTTTAAATGCATTTTTACTGTTATTTTCCTTGGTAATCCTGTTATTAACACACTTTCTCTCTCTTTGTGGCTACACACATTTTTCTATTCTGTCTATGGAGGGAGGTATGGTTGTCATACAGATGGCACTTGAAATATGCCTACCCTTTATCGCCTCCATTACATGGAAGATGATGAGATTAGTAGTTTACAAAACACCAACATTGTTTTTGCTGTCTTTGCAGTCCCAAAAAAGTGACAGAAACACTGCATTTCTGCCACGATAAACAGGTATTTTCTGTACTTGTTGAAAATGTTCTTCCCTGACAAAACAAACACAGCCACCACAACCTTGGACTGGAAAGTGCAATATGTATCTTTCTTATTTTTGAGTTTAGATATGCTGTGTCAAAGTGAACTTCCTCTGTACCTTGTGGTTAGGTCCTTTGGACTGGTTTCTGAGTTTAGTGGTGTAAAGGAGGGACAAAGTTAGTGAGTGTTCATAAAGGTTTGATGAGAACAGTGGTACCTGCTTGGCACAATTATTAATGTGGTCTACTTTGGACAGCGAGGGCTATGTGTAGTAGCACACTGGGCCTGAGCTGAGAGTGGGAAAAATCATAAAAAGAAAGGTGTTGACTTATTTTGCACTTGTAAAGGTTGCACATTTTCATATTATTCAGAACTCCCTAAAAGTACCATGAGAGAAACTAGTCTAGCTATATACCGATTTTACGTGTTGGATTTATGGACTTGCACCATGACCACTGTTCCTTTCCATGTGGGACTGCAGCAGTTGGTATTCTGTTTTATAGACACTTTGGACATTTTATAAATTACCATGAAAAATTACAACCAATGCCTAGCTGTTCATGGTCTTTGATTTTGCTAACAAAATCCATTCAGGCATTTATCAATGGTGGTGGAGGTGGTGCCTTGACATGACCTAATTTAACATTCTCAGGTGATGTGCTGCTAGAATTGTGAGTTATCATCATCAAGATAACGCAATCCCCATTACAGTAACAGCATGAAAAATGAAATAGCAAAAGGTACACATAGAATGCATGCAGTTTTTTTAAGCGTTTCTTGAAAATTTTTAAATTTGTGTTAAGATTAGAGGTAATATTTTGCAATTTACTAAAAATTGTAGAAAATTATCTCTTTCAGAAGAAACATATTTCTGTAAAGCAATTTTTGATTTGGATTATATAGGACCAGTCATTTTAGTTTTTGTTAAAGTTAAAATTAAAATCTTTAAAATAGGCTTCCATTTTTACCTGTATTTGAATAAAAAAAGGGTAGGTGAGTGCACAGGGTAGTACTAGACTCCCACCTTTACAAAGAACTCTTGCCATATAAAAACACTTTAGCTGACAATGGAAAACATAAACATATTTTGCTAATGATGAAAAACCAATAGCGTTTTGGCTTTTTGCTGGTTACAAAATCTCTATAGACTGCAGTGAATTTTATTTATGGATTTAAATGCAGCCTACAAATGTTGTACAGTGCTCATACTAATACTTTTTAAAATACCAGCTGGAATTCAAAAATTGCAAGTAAATGTCTGTGGGTGAGTACTGTAATTGTAAAGTTAGTTTTTCTCTGCTAACCAGCAGGTATTAGTGAGGGAAAGGTGTAAAGAGTAGGTTTCACAGCCATTCAGTCCTTGGTTATATGACCAGAGGCCATTATATGTGACCAGAGGTCAAGTGAATACAGCATCTCTGTGTCATAAAATTATCCTTCACATTTGACTCTATACCATATGACCAGCCCAACACTCTGACTTTGTTTTTGAAATAGATACATATCTTTTGCACCTGTTACTGTAACTGCCTTCATTTTCAAATGCCCTTGTGAATAATTGAAGTAGGCCTAGTGTTAGAGTTTAATATTTTGTATTGCTTTTACATTCTGAGAATGCATATAATGTACTTATTCCTATTAAAGAAACAAAACAAATGACAATCCAAGAATCCTACAGAAATGTGGATTAAAAACAGGTCAAAATGGCTAAAAAGCTATTTTAAGTCTTCTTCCATATTTTTTCTCCTTTTTTTGTAGAAAGAATAAGAACCTCTGTATGCAAACAAGATCTAAGGTGTATAGGAAAAGTAAAAAATGGTATCTCTTATACTGCTCATAGTTCAGAATGATCAAAATAAAAAAATGAAATTTAAAAAAAGGTGTACCTGCTCCAAAATTGTATTTATTCTTTCAACTTCACAGTCTATTACAAATCTTTTCTCCTGACGTCTGTCCATTTCCTCTATGATGCGTTTATATTCCTGAACATCTTTTATATTCCCCACTGATCGGGCTGTCACTTGCCAGTTGTTCTGTACGGCTGCCTCCATAATGGCTTGGAGAATGGAAAATCCTGAAGAAGAGAAATGACATAATCAGACTCTTTATTGTTAAGAATATGAAAAGAACACTTTCAGATAAAAAAAAAACATTACTGCAAATGATTTTCTGGAAGCATGTATCACGCAGGCACGTTAGTTCCTCCCCATCACTTCATGGCCTGCTTTCCCTATATTATGCCATAAAAATACTTCTGGCAGCACATATATCCATATAGTCTCTTTGAGTAATAGGGATAACAATAATCAGTGTATATATGGAAATATGCAAAGAACCTAAAATTAAGAAGTAAACAGTAGCCATCCAATTGTTGTTCATGGCTCTGTTTATTGAAGACATTTCAAAAAGTCACAGCAGTCAATCGCATGGCTTACCTATTATTATTTTGCATTTTTCATAATTGCTAAACAGTCAGTCCAGTGGCTTTTTATATTTAGAGGGACTTTAGCAAAGGTTTTCATGCACCTGAATGTCTAGCTCTACTCACCTGCTGTCAGCTTTGCTTACATTTGTTTTAAATTACGGAGAATGAAGGGTAAACAAGACCACTAATGGTGCAATAGAAAGAGTGAAACTTCTTGTCGAAGTGGGGTACTGTCTTGTATAAAGATGGTGCCTGGAGTCCTATAACACCTAAGAAGCTAGTGGGAAAACCATCCAATATGCTTTCATTCCACATTATGGTGTCCATTTATGAACCAGCGGTAAATGATCGCTGCTCAGTTCTCCGGCATTCTCGGAGAACACAGTTCTCCTGTGAATGCCTTTTATGAAGCAGCTCTCTGAACGAAGGGAGAATGGTCT